GATGACGCCGAAAAAGGAAACAGGACACACTTGCCAGGGGAATGAGAGCAGTAACTTTGTCAAGCGAGTTACCGATAGATATTTTGTACTTATTCACATGATTGTCTGTATATACATAGAAAGGGTGACGCATAGTTGTGTATGCTTGCAGTTGTCTGCGTGTCTACTGAAGTGTGCATGGTGGGGCTGGTGGACCGCCTACAATAGAGTGTAAGTGGTATCAAATCGAGTCTCTCCTCACCCGCTGGACTATCGTTCAGTAGAGCCGAAGCAGAATCATTTCCACCAGCTCTAGGCATCCAACCGGTCGGCCAATTCGGATAAAGGACTGTCGGACGGTGGTTACGAGCGGTATGGAGGTGCCAGAGCCCAGTATTATCACAAAAACATCCTTGAACACTTCAGCCCCTCCAGAGATCGGTGAGTTGGCTCTATTTTTTTCAGCGCATAATACACATAATAATATACAAAAATCCCATGGAAACTTTTCATAGTGTTCCATGATTTGTAATGACAAGTAATTCTTTCAATTATACGCCAAAAAAAGTTGGGCTTTCAGCAATCTCTTGGTTTATGACTATTGAGCTCAGTTGCAATTCGAGTGAAAGTGTTGCGTGATAAGATTCGAAGGTCGGTCCCACCAGGCGACGACTTCTGATGATTGGTGCTACTGGAGCATTCTTGATTAAGCTGCCGTGTGAAGGACGAAAGGTTGGCTTGTTTTCACCGGAATCAAAGGAGTTTGCCTCGAAACAGCTTCAACAAGAATGCTCATGGAGAGCCAGTCGACTGCTGGTTAAGAGGAATCTGCCGCAGACATGTGGTGAGATAAATCCTCGAATCTCTTTATCACACTCTTTCACTCGAAATGGAAGTGAGCTCAATAATTATTTTTGTAGAAATGTTTACTTGGTGTGAAAACGCATGATTGGGAGATTCGTAGTTCACGGTCGCCAGAAGACGGCGGCGGATTCCCGTTGTTCTGTTCCGTTCATTCGACATTATGATTAACGTTTCGGAAAAGATATGATTGAGCTTTCATTCGTCATCAGAGCAAGAGTCTCAAGTTGACACTAAGTCAAGAAGACCAGCCGCCTTTATCCTACGTCCAATTTACGGTCATAACGAAAAGAAATATTAACATATTAATGTATATAGAAAAATTTTGTTAGTTCCTTTACACTCGTGTATGCCAGTGTGTGGATATGTTGATGTATGTACACAATACCTGCTATATATCAAAGCCTTGACTCAGGCCCGAGTAATCAAGGCCTAATGACCCACTCGAGATTTCCTCCAAAACGAGGGAGGATGTCTCGTGGATCGCGTTGCAATGAATGTCACATTAAAGATTAGGGAATGGAGATGTATTCTGGCGAGATTGAAACTCTTCATTATGCACTTTCACATGAAATAGAAATCCCCACAACAATGTTATCGCATTTTCTTCGTACAGGACTTCAGATCGATGAAGCACTCTCCTCTTACGCAATGGCTCATCTTCTCTCTCTCATTCTGCTCAGTTACCAGAGATAGTTCCTGCTTACTTTTCTATGGATCCGAAGAGTAACAGCGTTTCGTTGAATCTCCTGAGACAACATAGTTTGGGAGACTTTCATTTGGTATGAAAGTGCATTGAGAACGACGGCTGATTCTTGCTGTATATAGAAAAATACAACATTCAGGTTGACGCAGTCAACGAGACATCCTCCCTTGTTTCGGGGGAAAATCGGCTGAACCTTCGACCCGCATATGCTGGAAATTATCAGAGCTGGAACTCATTCTTGCAAAAGTCTCAAATTGACACCAGGTCGAGAACTGATATTCTTCACCT